CTAACCCTATCGACAACATCTAGACTTGTCTGTGCCATTACTAGCGGTACCTTAACATAACTATCTTAAATACATAGCCATAACGACATTTCTCTTTTCGGCAGAGCCATGGTACTTAAAGGGTTAACTTTTTGTTGCTCAGATATTGTAATGAAAACGGACTTCTTTTCTTTACTTTGGAGACTTCGTGTACAACTCTTTCAAAAACGGAATAATCACACTTGCAATCCAAACTGGTTTCATAATGGTTTTCGCGTCTCTTGCACAAAGAAACTAAGTCTAACAGTTAAGTTTAGAACATAAACATCGTGGCAAAAAGGTACCATCGGAAAAATTGTCTATCTATCTACCTATTTGACCAGTCGCCATTTGGTGCAATGGGCAATAAAAATGCATCCCATTCGGTTTTGTTTCTTGCCAATTGTATAGCTTCATCGTAAATTAACCCCATTTCCTTTAAGTCTCTAGTAATTGTTTCTCTCCATGATGTTGGTGGTCTTCCCATTCTTGTTTCTTCTCCTTGTGGTTCCCATTGTAATATCTGTTTAGCGAGCCTATTCCTGTCCATTCTTATTAGATGCCCGAACCAACGTAGTCGTTGCTTTTTCATAGTTTGCACAACGGCTAGTAACTTAACTCTTTCTCTTATTTCTGCATTTGATACCTTGTGCGTCCAGTTGATTTTTAAAATTTTCCTCAAACATATGTAATCAAAAGAATTTTTTTTCTTCTTGTTGTTTGGTTAGCTGCCACGTTTCACTACTATATATGAGCACTGCTATTACATTTGCTTTGTACAGTTGCATCTTTGTTTTCAATGGAATACCTTTATTTTGCCATAGTTTGTTTAGTGCTTTCAGTGCATATGCTGCTTTAGCTATTCTATTGTTTATCTCTATCATAATGTCACCGCTTTGAGATATTTTGCTGCCCAAATACATAAACTCCTGCGCCTTTGCCAATTTATTGTTATTAACTATAATTTCTACATCATCTCCAAACTTGTTTTCATTTACCACCATAATATTTTTTTTCTTTGCATTTATTTTTAGCCCTATTGATTTACTATGAGTATCTATACGATCTGTTTTTTCTTGCATTTTCTGTGTATTATCAGCTATAAGTACGATATCGTCTGCAAAATCCAAATCTTCTATTTCCTGTTTATAATTCAATTTAACTCCTAACTTTTGATCTTTCGGAGCTTTTTGAAGTATCCAATCAATCGCAATAATAAACAGTAAAGGTGAAAGAATACATCCTTGTCTAACTCTCGTCTTGATTTTGGTCTTGACAATTGGAAAAATTGTAACAAAGGTATATTTGTTATCTTGATCAAGACAGAAGTATATCAACCCCAGCTCTCATCTTGGTTAGGGCGTGCGAGAGTTCTCTGGACATTTTATTTATTCTCACGGCGTCTTTGCTAACAATTCGTTACAGGGTTGAACAAAGGCGGTTTTAAGAAGTTCGCTATCTCTAGCACTGAGGAAGCGCAGGTCATCGTTGTTGGTGACAAAGTCGTGCAAGTCGAGGCGTTACGAATGCGAGTAGGCATATTGCGCGATGGCGTCATTGTAATGCATCCCTCTATTGCGATCTGTTTTGACTTGAACCTCTTCAAGCAATACCGGTGAACTTAAACCGTATATATTTGCCACTTCCCGTCCAACAGGCGTAGCGCGTGAATCGACATTATATATTCACCGTTTTGTTCTGCGACAGCAGTACTTTAAATATGACATTGCCGAAAATGAAAATCAAGAAAATTTTCTTCTAAAATTCTTCAGAGTATGAATCATCGCTCATACTCGTCAATAGACGTGTTGTACACGCCATAGCTAGTGGGTCCTTACACTCTCTCGAATGCGCAGAGACAGGAGCCACTAGAAAATGAACAAAAAAGAATAGAAAATAAAAAATCTGAGGTTATTTTTAGCCTTCAAACATCGGTCATCTTCTGCCAAGTCCAGCGAAATCTGTTGTCTGAAACTCGAAGGGTCCGATCGGATCCTTAGTGACAACTTTCGGCACAGAATCTGGGCGCCAGGATTCCGACATAATACTACATGATTCCAACTTGTGCCAGATTTTGTCGGATTCCGACATGTTCTGACGCCGGATCCGATCGGACCTTTCAAGACCTTGTCTTCGGAATCATCGGCCTGGGGAACTAGTTGAGATAGTAAATCATCATCATTTAATATTTTGTAATATTCTCGGTTGACGGTAGAAATAGCCATAATTGTTATGATGAGTTGTGGAGTGAGATATGTCACAAATCTTCCTCTTTTTATAGTGTAGTTCATACCGCATTTTTTAACGACGAGATTACTTGAGCGGATCAAGTAATAATAACAATTCTGAGATGAGATGAAATGACCACAGCGAAAGAAAACAAATGTATAGTTTGAAAAGAAGAAGTAGAGTAGGGAGAGATAGTCAATTTACATTGTTGGATTGACTGCAGTAAAACGCAGAACGCAACGTGATCGGTCGGTTTCAGCGAAGAACGCAAACACGAAATGAGTAAATCCATCTGAAATATCCTATCATTACAGCAAGTTGATCTGCTTTACTTAAAACCAGTCTAATTTTTTTATGAAACAATCACCATCTTGAATTAAAATACGTCGACAGCCTTCGCCAGTTGAACCAGAGACTATTCCCATTGTAGACTGTGTAGTGACAAGATCACAAATATATATTGAGCGTTGATTGTTCAAGATGAGATAAATAACAATCTGTACATTAAATTTTCTCATAAAAGATGTTAAGATTTGCCAAATACAAACATAAATCTATAATAATAAATAACGAGATAGTCTTGGATAAGCGAGCCTCATCAACTTTTGTTTAATTACAGTTTTTTTTTTTTAATTATAAATGCAGCAATGATCTACTTTAAAGACACTTTTCTATTTTAAATAGATACAATGGTTTCTGATGTTGAATAAAATGTCCGTTAGTATGCATTGAAAATTTTTTGAGCTCGCTGAATGCTTTCTTTTTGTTTTTTTTAATGAATATACATCACTATAACACAATAGGAAGACACATCCTCGAAAACACAAAAAAAAGAGAGGAAAACCGAGATTTTGATTTTCACTCAACTATGTAAAAAATACAAAATAAAATAAGAAAATTTTTTTCACAAAACAATATCACACTGAAAAAAAATAAAACAAGACTGGTTTTTGCAGTCTAGAAGAATACAAAAACAAAATACTGAAATAAAAAAGTTTATCAAAGTAGACCTACGGTCTTTAAGTGGAACTCCTCCCCAGTATGAAATATGAAAAACTAAATTTGGTTGATAGATCTAATCCGATTAGGTAGAACAGCAAGGCCATTTTCGTTCGTGACGTGCGTATGAGGTGTCAGAGAAGATGTAAAAAAACATTATTACAAATTTTATGTTTTTCTGCTATTTTTAAACTTAAATTTCAATTCTTTCTTATTTCCTCTGGAAGTCGAGGAGAGAAGCTCCACAAAAATAAAAGACACTGGTTTAAATCATTAACGACTAGTGGAATGAGGCTGATTGTGAATTTAATCCAAAATAATCGAGGTATTTTATACTGATTGAGTAAGAATAATTTTCTTTCATTACCATATAATTTTATTGTTGTCTTACATGACGTTAAATTTTTACCGTTGATGAATCGATATCATCTTGATCGTATAATAAATTACTCATACGAATTAGACGTGTTTTTTGTACACCGCCACCATTAGTTACTAAATGTTCTAATTCTCTATCGTATCTATCTGTCGAATGATTATTATGATTATTTTTAATTTTTTTTCCTGGAAGATCGTTTATTATTTGCATTTCATACGAATTTGTTTTATTGTTAATATCGTTCATTTGGTCGTTTAAAGAAGAAGAATGTATCAAACCGTTTATTGGACGATGTGGTGGCACTACGCTAGTTTGTCGTGATTGAAAACCGAATGGAGGCGTAAATTTTGATGCCATGGAATAATTAGATTTTGTTATTGATGTTCGTACTTTTGCCGAATTATTTGTACTTATTAAAAATGGAAAACATCGACAACTTCGATTATAATGAAGAATTTCAAAAAATGCATGACGAAATTCTCTAAACAAAAAGATTTACATAGTTGAACCATGACAAACGTTAGTCAGTATGTTAAAAAAATAGCACTGTTCTCATTCATAATCCTAGTTATTAAAATATATTTATTTTTCTTTAGACTGTGTATGTAATGTTATGTTACTCATGTAGAATAATCGTTATAAGTAGAAACAGATGAATGATATTTATGTAGAGAAATAAAGATCCAAAAGGCATGAAAAAGTTTCATGGATCAAATTAGTAATAAGATGTTAAAGGACCTTTATAGACTCTCTGTTCATTCTACCTCGTTTATATATGTGTAAGTAATAAGTGTGGTATATTCAAATTTTATACTATTTTTATAAAGAGATTGAGACAATAAATGTATTATAACAAAATTTTATATATTTTGTCTTCTTCAAACAATTAAAATTGTTAAAATAAATAGAACAAGAAGTCGACAATATATCTTGTAATTCTTATTTTAATACTTTATCAATAAAAAATTTACACCTGTTTGGATAATAACAATTAGATCGATTACCCTACAAGGATGATTATAATACATACTTGTTTGAAAACGCATAAATAACAGGATTACAAAAACTATTCATATATCCAACCCATGTAATAAGACGTTCAACAGACGGAGTAATACATTTATAATCACAATAGGCAAGACGAAGATACATAACAAAAAATGGTAGCCAACACATAATAAATACTCCAACAACAATACCTATGAAAATAGAAATATAATATATTGAATGATAATAGAGAAAAAAAAAGAGAATATATATATATATATATATATATATAAAGTAACTAATGTATAGTTACCTAGAGTTCTTATGGCTTTTGCATCTCGTTTCCATTTTGAACTTTCTAAAACAAATTGTTCATTACTATGTAGACGTTTAATGATATTTTCTAATTTTTGCAATTCTAAGGAATGTTTACGAGCGGTTATAAATATTCTAGCATATAAAGCAAGAATAATAATTAATGGAATATAAAATGATGTCGATGAGGATATAAGAGAATATATTCGATTGGGACGCATGACACACTTAGTTTCATCTCGAAAATGATCTGGAACACCGCCCAAAGAATATAGACCGAGCATAACCGGTCCATAGGATAGAAGAACACTAATGAGCCATATACAACCAATTATTATAAATATTGTATGACTAGTCATTTTTTGTTTATATCTTAACGGATTTTCAATGGCAACAAAACGATCGATACTAACGGCAACTAAAAAATAGAAAATATTTAATAAGATAGAATTTATTTGAGAATATATTTTTACTAACCTAGATGTAGAATGGATGCGGTACAAAATGTAATATCATTTGATACCCAAATCTTACAAAATACGGTACCAAATACCCATTTAGCTTTAATATCATAAACAAGTCCCGGTATCATTACTGTTGTTGTCACTAATAAATCGGCTATGGCCAAACTCATTAAAATAAAATTTGTTGGATGACGTAAACGTTGTACGCGACATATTGCTATAACAACAATAACATTACCAATAACGCTTAAAACGATAATAATACCATAAACCTAAAATTTGTTTTAATCATTTATTAAAAACATTATTTAGAAAAGATTATAATATATAATACGTACAAGTATGCCAATAATAAGTTCTCGAACTCTTGATGGTGGTAATATGGTAGCTACCAATGATACATTACTATTGTTGTTGTTGTTGATACTCGACACATTGACATATTCACTTTGATAGTTAGTAGTCATGTTTCAATGTGCTTATCACACTATAAACGATAAACAGATAGAGCTACTTTTTTTTTTATCAAAATAAAAATATACCTTAAGTCGATGATAAAGTTATGCTAACTGTGATAGTGAACAAGAATCTTACTAAATAACAACTTTATGATTTAATCTAGCTCATTTTCAAGACTACCGTAGTATTATGTTAACTCAACTAAATTGATGTATAATTGTAACATTTCACTGGTACATCATTCTTCATGTTATTATTAGTCTACTACAATATGATGGACAAGTCAAGAAAAGAGAATAACATGTTAAAATGATCAATATTTAGTATTGACCAAATAATATTATGAATAAAAGTATTAGTCAAGAAAGTAAAACAACTATTTTAAAAGTAGAAATAAAGTTTCTATAATTAATTAGAAAAGTAGAGTCATCTGAAAATAAATGTAATTCGTCTATATCAAAGTAATAATCTATCTGATCATAAGTCATCATTTTTTTTTTCTTACTAATCCTTTACCTTTGTTTCTTCATTCCACTTGTCAATTGTTGTTGATATCTACATTCTATTATTTTTTGTATTAACAAAATACCATTAATAGTGAATAATTATCTATTAATTTACCGATTCATCAGCGTGTAAAAAATGAACATCGAAAAAAATAAGACAATCATTTTATATTACTCCTCAAGTTTCTATACACATGTTGATGTTTGATATGACCGTTGACGTTTTCCTTGGCTGGTATATTAAAAATGGTATCAAATTTAGTTTTTGTCGTTAAAATTTGATTTGTATAGAAATTTGAGATATATATTTTTTTTTTTTTTGAGTATAACGGATTGCAATTAACAGTGCTAATAAAAGGAAGAATAAAAAAGAAAGACAATTGTTATTTTGTATCTTTGTTTTTATTTCTTTTTTTTCTTTTTCTAAACTTGAAACAAAATTTCCCTCATTTATATATAGATGTGTAGAATGCAGGTAGTAATACGCGTGAGAGAACAAATTTGCCGGTATCAAAAACAAATTGATGCGAAAAAAATACAAATTGTTTTTTTCGAGTTTTTTTTATAATGAAGTTATTGTTATAGACATATAAGAGATAATAGTAACAAATGTTGTTCTATATTACTCATATTCACATACAAAACATCGATTTAAATTATGAAATTTCAATAATGTTAGATATTAAGATATGCTTCTAAAAAAGTTCAAGTATATGAAAGAAAAGTACGTCATCGACAATATTGTAAACTATTTCGTGTAAATCATTTCGATTGTTTTATTATGTTTATAATTCTCTAGAGAAAAAAATCAGTCTGCCACGTTCTCTTTCGATGCAAAATGCCATGTTTATAGTAGACCAAAAAAATGTAAAATTGTTTTGTTTTGGGAATATCCGAACTAAAGGTAAGAGTACTAACTAAATAAGAAATAAGTTGTTCTAAAAAAAGATGACTCTTTACATATTAATTAACAATTGTAAAGCCTACGATCAGCTTTTAAATTGAAAAATAAAGAACAAGATAAAAATACATCGAATGTAACAAAAACGAACAGGACTCATTTTCAAATCAATCTAAAAAAAATAAAATATACGCTTTTTTTTTTTGTTGAGATGATGTCGAATATATACAAAAAACGAATAACAAAACGATCGTCCATGAACTATTATTAGACACATTCTTTTTCCATCTATTACATGTAATGAAATAGATAAATCATTAAAAAACTTATTTTAAAAAGTTATTCACTGGGCAATGGCAAAAACATACTATTGGGAACAAATTTTTCTACACAAGAGATAGAGAAAGTAGTGGAAAATCAAGTATTCTTGTTAGATAAAGTTATAAAACTAACTTCCCTCAAGTTTTCTCTGCCACTCATTTAGTAATTCGAACGTATAAATATTAAAAAGCAAATGACATGGTGAAGTAACGATCGATCATACAAATGTTTTCTTACTTGTATATGTTCGTTAGAACAATCAAATAATTTTTTTTGTTATTTATTTATTTATCTTCACAGCAGTGTGTCATGCCACTGACTGTGCGTGTTTGTCTATTATTTCTCGTGTATAAAAAGTTAATAAAAATATATAGATTTCGCGAGCTAGAAATACCGGATGATAAGATCTATAGTGAATACATCACATGTATAAACTATAGTTGTGTACAAGGAAATAATATATATAATAGATCGGTACTGCTGAGTATATATGACACGAAATAAAAATTTTCCATCAATATGTAGAGCAGAAAAGAGTCAAAAAAAGGAGTTGCTCTATGATACTGCTCAGATGTTCTTTTTTCTTTTTTTGTATTTTTCTTTGTCTATGTCGTTTGCCTAATTTTAATTCTGAGCATACACATGATTTCTCTTTTCTCATGTCCAGAATTATGACGATATATTTTAATCGAGACATTTTTATTTTATAATGCACTAACACTGAACTTATTTTTTAGACTCAATATTCTAATTAATAGAAAAACTTTTTGTTATACTAAAGAGATAAGCGGATATAGTTCAATGTTGAATATACCTTCAAGATGAGTAGTTGATTCAAAAAACTCTTTAAGCTAGGTAAAAAAAAAATAGAATAAATATTTTCTATAAAATTTGATGATAGGTGTGTTGATGAGTATGATACAAAAAAGATTTTTTTATGGTCAATTTCTCAATATTTTTGATTTTTTTGGATGGTTTTTCATAAACATAAGCAGGATAAGTTTCTGAACATTTTTATTATACCTAACATGAGAATCTCGCATAAAGCTAAGTGGTTTTATTTCCTAGTTAACGTAGCAACAGAAGAGACTAAAAGATCGTCACTCATTAGTTGGTTGATCTCATGCACCGAAAGCCGAATTACAAAAGTCCTGGCATTTTATAATGCAAAACATGGATAGAAAACCTATATAAATAAAACCAAACTATGTTGTATAAGCTTTGATACTTCATTACATAATACTTCTATTCAATGCTCTTAGAATATGCTATCTTATTATATTGAGTCGTATCCTACGTTAATCATTCTCTTTCTTCATTCTTAGATCATTTTGGCTCTCAGAAATATTGATGGAAACATTACACAGTGACGACTCTTAGCAAAACAAGACAGATTAAGCCAACTACATTTGTGAATGTAGTTGTAATGATCTATCAAATTTGATGATTATTGAAACTGACGGATTGACAGTGACAATCATTCCATCGATAAATAAATAAAAAGATGAGAAAAACAAAAAATATTGTATTCACCAATATTATAGCAACATCTGATGTGAAAAAATGCCACATTACATAGTGTTTTCTCTCTAAAGATTTGATATATCACTGTCATTATACGAGAATGCGTAGTTGGCTCGACAATAATTATCAGAGTTAATATATATATTAATTAATCAAACTTAAGAGTATAATCAAAAGTACAATCAAATTGTATCACATAAAAAACCGTGTACGACTATAAAAGACATTCATCTCTTGAATTTGATTTTGTTTTCGAGAGAGGATTAAAAAAATCTAAAATTCTGAAAGAACACGCAAAAACACTATATCGATTCAAGGTGTTGCTCATCATATTTTAAATATAACGTGATTATTCTAGATAGGTTTCACCACATCTACAGTCCAATACCGACGACGACATAATCAACAGTAGATAATCAAAAAACATTTATTTAGAGACTAGTAAAGTCTACGTTTATAAATTTTTACAAATTTAGTAATATTTTTACAAATTTTCAAGATTTCATTTGTGGTTAACATAATCAGCTACATTTTCTTAACAGTGTTGACGATATATATCGAATAAAAAAGTCTCATATTTTCTTGAAACAACATCCCACATAAGAAAATAGAAGTTTGAATTTTAAAATTCCAGACATGTTCACTACATCACCCGAGTTATGTTTATTGACAAAAAATTCAAAATAATGAGGATTAAAGAGCGTGCCAAATGTATCTTGATTTTGCTACGTTTAAATAAAAAAGAAAAAAGTGAATTTTATCACTAATATATTAAAATATCTGTTTAGATTTCTTTTGATTGATAGGTCATGCTATAAACTCATCAATCTTTACCCTAGTGAACATAATTTTCGAAATCATAAGGCATTTACTTACTGGCAATGTTCATGACAATTTTTATTCTAATTCATCATTTTTTCAAACATCTAGTTTTCATTAACATCTTTGTCAATATATAGAACAACTAACACTACTAATGAAATTACTCACACTGAACTATTTAAGTGTTTTAAACAACAACAAAAAAAAGGAAAATAATAGAGAAGAAAAGAAAAAAAAAGAAATTATATTTCCTCTTTTTATACATAAAGAACAGAGAGAGAACGAGAGAGAGAGAACGAGAGAGAGAGATCAAGAAAATGTGCTATGATAAGGCGAATGAAAAGGTTATATTTATTAGTAGTATTCGAAGATTTGTTTATAAAGAAGCCATTTTAGGATTATGATGAATTTTTCAATACTACTTTAGTCAATATTTATAACAACACGTGTAGGAGCTACGCTGTTCATTCTATTAATGAACGGTTTTTCCTAACCATTTTTTTTTCAATTTAAACAATCTACATGGAACTTAATAGAACAGTGAGTTACGTAGAAAATAACTAGTATTACCTCACATTATACTAATCTCTTTCTTTCTTGACAACCTTTGAAATTTTTTAAGTCGTTGCTAGCGTTTTATCAGTTCATCAACAAATATCTGAATGTTTTTCATAAAAAAAACAGGGATATCTCGTTCTCGAATATAATTGTAGTTCTCAATTTTTGCTACTACAACTGAAAAGTGTTTTTTTCCGACATATTTTCGTTGAAGAGAAAAATATGAATAAAAAGTTTTGAAACCGAAGAAAAGTGACATTTCGAATAAATTAATAACTGTGTCGGCTAGAGTAGTTGTCGTACAAGTAAAAAGAGATCAGTTTTTTTTTAGTATAGTCTGTCTATGTGGAAATGCAGAACGAAAGAGTAAAATAGT